ACACAGCGCGATCCACCAAAACGGTCGGTACGTGGATCGCGTCGTCCAATTCCCGCTGCCGACCCCCAGCCCCGCCGACCCTCTCAACTGGCCGAGATGGAGGAAAATGGCGTGCATGATCACGGTGGCGTTCTACGCCTTCGTCGCCAACTTCCTCTCGGCTTCCCTCGCCCCCGCCCTCCCGGTCTGGAACAAAGAGTTCCACCAGGACGTCAGGCCGCTCAGCGACCTGATGCAGCTCGTCGCGGTACGTATCCCTTGCCCTCTTCGCTGCACCACCTTTTCAGCCCGTCAAGTATCTGACAGCCCCAACAGCTCAACGTCCTGGCGCTGGGACTGGGGAATGTCGTCTGGGTCCCGCTATCCAACGTGTTCGGCCGGCGTCTCGTCCTCGTTGTCTCCACGACGCTGCTCTCCGTCGCCACCGCAGGCGGCATCTTCGTCAAAGGCTTTACCCCGACCTTGTTCATCCGGGTAACGCAAGGCCTCGGGAGCTCGGCGTCGGAGACCGTGACGCCGGCCGTCGTTGGAGATTTGTTCTTCGTCCACGAGCGCAGGCGTTGGATGGTAAGCGCCCCTTCCCTTACTTCGAAATGCACTTCCACACGAACAACTAACATGGCCCTCCCCCCTCCCCACAGGCATTCTACACGGCATCCCTGGCCAGCGGCTCCGTCCTCGGCGGCATCACGGGCGGGTACATCGCCAACGGGCTCGGGTGGACGGCACAGTTTATGGTCGGCGGGGTGCTCACGACGCTCGCGAGCGTGGCCACCTTCTTCCTCGTGCCGGAGACCATGTTTGACCGGCCAAAGCACGCGCTCCCCGTGCATGAGCAGCCCGCCTCGCCGCCGCCGCCGCCGAGCCCGGCCCCGATCCCGCCCCCGATCCCGCCCCCGATCCCGCCCCCGGCCCCGCGCATCTCGGTCCCGCCCCGCGTCAGCCTCGCCAACCTCCCGTCTGCCCGGTTCACGCTGCCCACCCGATACACGTGGGCAGCCATCATCGCGACAAAAGACTCGGCGGTGGCGCAGCAGCCCGAGGCACCAGCCCCGGCAAGAAGAGCAGGCGTCCCGTCCGCCGCCGCCATCGCGACCCCGACGCCCGCCAACCAGTCCGGCATGACGTGGTACGACACGGCGTCGTCCCAGACGGAGCTCAGCTCCTGGCCGCCAACTGCCAGGGGGGGCCGACGGGGTCAAGGCAGCAGCGCGGCGCGGTCCAGCGGCGGCACCACCAGCGGCGAGGGCGGCACCGGCACCGGCACCGGCACCGGGTACCCGCCCTACACCTTCAGGCAGTCCCTCCGGTTCGGCGCGTACCGCGGCAACCTCGCGCGCCAGTTCGCCAAGCCGTGGACGACGCTCCTCCTGCCCGCCACCTGGGTCGTCATGTTTCAGTATGGGGGCCTGGTGGGCGGCGTGGCCGTCATCTCGACGGTGGGGCCCCAGATCCTTAGCCGGCCGCCGTATCAGTGGGGGGGCAACGCCGGGTTGCTGTTTGTGGGCGCCCTGGTGGGCATCGTGCTGGGCGGCCTGTGCACGGGCTTGTTGGCGGACCGGCGGGTGAAAAGGCTGGCGCGGGACCAAGACCACGGGTTTGCCGAGCCCGAGGCGAGTATAGGGTTGATTGGGCCGTCGTTGGTGGTGGGGACTTGCGGTTTGTTGGTGTTTGGCTTCTGCGCGCAGAACCCGGGGAAGTACCAGTGGGTTGGGCTGGAGTTTGCCTACGCCATGGTGGCGTTTGCGCTGACGCAGGTGCCGTCTATCTGGTTCGGCTATGTGAGTGTTCCCCTCCCCCCTTTTCCCGCCCTCTGACAGGTGTATGGCGAGGCCGTGACTGACCCGCCCGCTCTCTCTCAGCTCATCGACTCGTACGACCAGCTGGCCAGCGACTGTTTCGTCATGGTCTGCGTCCTTCGCGCCCTGATTCCCTTTGCCTGGACCTTCTTTGTCGCGCAGTGGGTGGAGAAGAGCGGCTACCTCATCCCGTTTGGCGGCTTCACGGCCATCATGGGTCTGTTTGCGCTGCTCACCATCCCCATCATCCTGTGGGGGAAGCGGTTGAGGATTGCCACAGCCCGCTATGTGACAAGGAATCAGTGACCGGTATAGAGGGGATAAAGGGGTACACTATCATGTTGATAGAGACGACGATAGAGTCGGATAGACGATAGAATGGAAGTATTACATAGAGATCTGACGAGGCTTTCCGGTCCGTAGACCGATTCTCGGCTGTGGATGTGACTGTCGGTTTTCTGTTCTGAGTTGCCTTGGATCTTCCCAAGAGGAAGTAGATAGGTACTCCACCGGTTGTCGGCAATATCTTATTCGTCTGGTGGCACGCGTTCATTCTTATGACTCAGGTATTTAGCATCGTCTGTGCCGGATTCAGGTCGAGGGAGGTGAGATCCTCTGCACAGTATTGATTGCTAGTCGCTGGTTGGAGAATTAAGGGGTGCCATGAGTTTCTAGGTACCTCCTGCTAGAGCTAGAAAGTGATTAAATCAAAGAGGATGAGAACTGAGTTTGCACAGCGAATTTTAAGGGAATAAATGAATAGTTAGTTGTTAACGTACATTATAAGCGAGCGACCAATATAAGCGAGCGACCACCTTTCCACGCGACGCGCCACCTTTCCCACAAACACCCAATTTTCTCAACAATCCAGTATGCCATCTACCTCAAACGAAGCCCAGATAATCTTAGCCCTTGAGGCTCTTCAAAACGACAAAGATCTAACTGTAGCAGCTGCAGCTAAGATCTATAACGTCGACCGTAGTACTCTCCGGCACCGACGCCGGCCGGCCTGCACGACGCGATTTTCAAGCCAACTCGCGCCGACTTACCGATTCCGAAGAGAGGGCTCTTGTTCAATATATAATTGAGCTATCTGAGCAAGCTTTTCTACCGAGACCATGTGGTGTGGAAGATATGGCCAACCAACTGTTGCGCGTACGCGACGCCCCCCCTGTCGGCAAGCTCTGGGCACACAACTTCGTCAAACGCCAGCCAGAGCTCCGAACGCGTTACACGCGTAGATACGACTACCAGAGGGCTAAGTGCGAGGATCCAAAGGTCATTGGCGACTGGTTTGCCCTCGTACGGAACGTCAAAGCCAAGTACGGCATCGTAGATGACGATATCTACAACTTCGACGAGACTGGGTTCATGATGGGCATCATCTTTCCAGGCATGGTGGTCACGACCTCGGATGGCCGTAGCAAGGCAAAGCTGGCCCAGCCTGGTGTGACGAATCTCGGTCCCAGACCACTGAGAGAGACTCCTGAAGGTTAAACTTGACAACGGGATGAGGTTCGGTGGAGCCAAAGGGTTCACAACAAGCAATGTCCGAAGGTACGGACAATCTTGCACTAGAGTTGCTTACTGGAGAACTCCCAGAGTCCTCCAGAATGCATGACTATATACTAGCTAGTTCCTTAGTTGCTCGGGGTGCTCGATGCCCGAGCACCCACGAGCACTTACATGCTCGTCGTGCTATACCCTCGAGCATCCCCGAGCATCTTGAATGCTGCGGCGTGCTCGCTACTCTTGGCGCTATAGCACTTCTGCCTTTTCCTGACTGGTCTGCCTTTCTGGCTTGAATGATTGGCTCGGGGCTTCCCTCGCGCCCCGCATGTGGCCTTCCACCCTGCGGCCTGCTGTTGGTTAATCCATGACACCTGGTAACCGCAAATGGGCAACGGTAATCCAGGGCGTCAACGCCCTCGGCTGGGCCATCCCCCCTTCATCATCTTGGCCGCGCAGTACCACCTCGCCAACTGGTACACCGAGTGTGACCTCCCAGCCGACTGGCGTATCGCAACCACCGACAATGCCTGGACTACCAATGCTGTAGGTCTGGATTGGATCAAGCACTTCGACTGCCATACAGCACCCCGGACAAAGGGCAAATACCGATTGTTGATCCTCGACGGCCACGAAAGCCACCACTCGACCGAATTCGAGCTCTATTGCCAGCAGAACAACATCATCACGCTCTGCATGCCTCCGCACTCCTCCCACAAGTGCCAGCCACTTGATGTTGGCTGCTTTGGGCCGTTGAAGCAGGCATATATGGTCGCCAGATCGAGGACCTGATGCGCGCGCATATCAACCACATCAGCAAGCTCGAGTTCCTCTGTGGCTTCCGCGAGGCCTTCTTTGCCTCTATTACCAAGAGGAATATCCAGGGCGGTTTTGCAGGGGCTGGCCTTGTACCGTACGATCCAGAGAGGGTACTTTCTGACCTGGATGTGAAGCTTCATACGCCAACACCCCAATCTCCCGGCCTGGCACTGCGAAACCTTGGGTGTTCCAGACACCACACAACCCTCGAGAAGCCGAGTCACAGTCAACGCTCATCAAGACTCGCATCGCCAACCATCAAAATAGCTCCCCGACTACAATGTTGACTGCTGTAGACCAGCTTACCAAGGGTACGATGGCTGTAATGCACCAGGTGGCCCTACTTCAGTCAGAGGTCTCTTCGCTCCGCAAGGCCAACGAGGCACTTAGTAAGCGCCGGAGAGCCAAAAGAACACGCGTGCAGCTTGGAGGATCACTTGCAGTAAAAGATGCAAAGCATCAACTGGACCAGAAGGCCGTGGTTGGGGAGGTGGCGCAAGAAACGGAACAGGATGGTAGTGGTGCAGGGGGGGGTCGTACGAGGGTTCGGTGCTGTGGTGTGTGCGGCAAGCCTGGCCATAATGCCCGCAATTTCCAGGAGGCTGTAGGAGGGTCTGATTCAGCTGTTTCCGATGCAATTATCGTTGGTTCATAGTATTGTTGTACTGCAATTGAGGATCTTGTTTGTAGTGGTGAAAAGGTGGTCGCTCGCTTATATTGGTCGCTCGCTTATATTGGTCGCTCGCTTATAATGTACGTTACAGTACTTACGCGGTACAATTGATTTCTGTATGAATTTAATACTGTGTACCGTTGCCGTGCAGACTCAGTGTGCGCCACAAAAAGATACAACCCAATCGCGGACGGGAATTGAGCCCGACGTGGGGGTCGAACCCACAACCTTGAGATGAACCCTGTTTATCCGTAAGAGTCTCACGCTCTACCGATTGAGCTAGCCGGGCAGGCTAATCCAACTGTGATGTTTTTGGAAGGCGCAGAAACATTGTTTACATAGTGTTGGAACCAGCGGTATCTTGTAGGCTTCGAGCGACGAGCAATGCACTGTAGAATCGGTCAAATTGAGGTTGTTCAACGCTGCGGCAATTGCGCTGCGAATTGATCAATTGTTCGTCTTCTCTGCCCCCCCGGGCCTAATTTCCAAGGAGACCCTGTATTTCGGAGGACCCCTTGGTCACGTGACCCCCTTGGTTCTGACACATAGCATAGGTAGGTAAATGGGCGAGAGTTCGCGTTTTGTCTGAGGGATTTCACGGACAAATTGATCCCGCTCCAATGTGTGGGTCAATTCTCTTTGCATTTGCAAAGAAAACCACAAACCAAACAAAACCAAGCCATGAACCCCAACCCAGGAGTACCAAACCAAATCAAAGTCAACAAATCAACGAGCCAGTCTGCAACTCTGCATCAGATGAGACAGTACAGGATGAAGATAAGATGAGAAGGGAGTGATCGCGCACAGTCCGCACCTCTTCCTCCTAATTAATGAGTTAACTACATCCTTTCAAGCACCGCGTCGATGTTTGCAAACGACAGCTCTGCCATGGTCTCCTGCCAGATCTTATCCGCGAGCGCCCAGCCCTCGGGACCATACACAAGCCTCGAGTATCTGAGGAGACACCTGGTTAGCTCACAGCCCTAGACACGAAAAAACGCTTGTTAGTTAAGAAGCCCTTACGAGTGGATCTTCCAATCGTGGAGAAAGCAGCCATGAGTCTCGGGCCCCTTCACCACGGCCGCATCGAGATAGGCGCTCGCCCCGTCCCTCAGGGTCCTCGCCACCATCCACTGGACCGCCTTCACCGCCCACGACAGAACCCCCTTCACGTCCCGGATGAGGCCCGTGTCCTTGACTGCTCCCGGATCGACAAGGTTGACGACGACGTGCTCCCTGCGCACCCGCTGGGCGAGCTTGAGTATCCAAAAGTGCGCCAGCGCCTTGCTGGCCGGGTATTGGTCCATGGGCGCCCATCGCGACTTGTCGTCAAACGTCGGTAGGAAGGGCGTCTCGTGGCGGCGCGGGAGCTTGGCCGCGAGTGCGGTGCCCGAGTTCACGATGGTCAGGCGGCCCGGCCGGCCCGCCGGCGCCTTCTCCCTCAGCGTCGGCAGCAGGAGGTGGGCCAGCAGCACGGTCGAGAGGTAGTTGACCTGGAACACCTCCTCGTGGCCCTCGGGCGTCCGCCGGTACTCCATGCTCGACAGGCCGGCGTTGAGTATGACAAAGTCAATCCGGCGCAGCTCCGGCCCCGCACACCTCGCTGCGAATGTTTCGACGCTCTGGTACGAGGCCATGTCGACCTGCCAGACCTCGATCCTGGCCACGCATCCGCCCTTCGACCGCAGCTGTTTGGCGGCGGCCTCTCCCTTGGCCGGGGTCCGCACGGCCAGGATGAGCCTGGCGAGCTGGAGCTCGACGAGCCACTCGGCGCAGGCGAGGCCGAGGCCTATGTTGCCGCCCGTCAGGATGCATGTCTGGCCGGCGAGGGAGAGGTCTGCGGGTGGGTGAACGGGCTTGGTGAATTGAGAGTGCAAGAAGCGGAACGGAGCGCCAGGGATCGCCAGCGATGTGGTCGTCACGGTAGGCTTCGACATGTCGGGGCGGGTTATGATGACGGCGTGCGGGGATGTGTCTGCTCGAATGATTATCATGGAAAATCGAGCAAAGGTTCAGGGGTGGATCATGTGACGAATGTATTCCTGCCTCGGGCGCTCAAGAGCGAAGAGTCCAGCGCCATGTTCAACAAAAGTAAGTTGGGCTTCTTATATCAGAGGCACAACGGAGTTATCAATGCGGCTGATCTGAACGGCGGACTGGTGTTGGCAAGCAATCAACTGCTGGCCGAAACAGGCAAATACTCAATTATAGGCCCAAATAGGCAAGGTAGATAAGTGAAACAGTCGTGCGGAGCAACGGGAAGAGGCCGACTGGGCGACTACTTGGTCAGGATAGTCCGCGTAGTAGCTAGTTGGTCCCGTCACTCGGATCGGCAGATCCAAAGTCCCGGCAGAGTCATGGCCCTTGGAACTCCAACGGCTTAGCTGGTGTAGACTGTAGAAGTCAAACTGTGGTCGAATCGGCATGCTTGTGTCGGCCTTCACCTGAGAGTGATGCGAAGTCGTTTGCCGGAATGGGGAAACAATCAATACTTGGCACGGAGCTATCGGCTTTTGACGACTGACCCATGACAACAACCTGAGAGAGTCAACAGTCCGGCAACTTTCCAAATGCCAACTGTTTTCCTCTCTAGGAATTGAGAGTCGTCTGGTATTCCCTTCAGTTCCTCGATTGACCACAACCATGACTGAAGCCAACGGTGCCATGAACGCGCCTTCCTCTGGCGCGTCCCGGACCCGAGGGCAGGTGGTTCCACAACAGAAAGCCCGTAAGGCCCCATCCCGATTCACGCCCATGAGAAAACACATCCTACTTCGGTAAGGTATCTGACTGCCTGACTTCCCTTCCCTGCAGCCAAAGGACTAGCTTTTGTCCAGTCCGACTCGTCTGGCCGCACCCCAGCAGACCGTCGACAACTCATCCGCAGCCATGTCATGCGCGGCAAGAACACGGCCAAGCGAGTACCGCGTCTCCAACAGCCGACAGGAAAAGCGTGCTCAAGTGCGGCCCCGACATATACAACCCAATCGGCGTGGCTTGAGGAGATGGAGCCAAACGAAGATGGTCCTGGGCGCTTCGGCTTTTGGCCCCCGAGCCTTCCCGGCTTGCAGAGGCCACTTGCCGAATTGGCCCTATGTGTTGTCGCAGAGGAAGTCGATGACATATCGAGATCATTAATGCGCCAGTGTGAGCTTGCCCAACTCTCAAACCTACCTAGGTATTTTTCACGTGCTGAAAAAACAACCAACACAACGATCTTTATCAGTCTTCATCCACATCAAGGAAAACATGTACCCTCTCGAACGGTGCGTGGAGCAGCGTGTCTCCAAGCAAGCCTGGTTCTACTGGGCGTGCACCAATACCGTCTACCTCAGCTCGCTCCTCTTCGCCGTCAGCGCCTTTAATGACCTATCGCGAGCCCCTAGCCATGACCCGACCCCTTCCTTCCGTGGCGATTTGACCCAATACTTTTCACCACGCACACTGCGCCACCTACGACGAACCATGCAGTTGCTGCAGGCAAAGCTACGGGATGGATTCCAGCAGCCAGAAGACGCTACGACTTCTGTGGTCATCACCCTGGCCTTGATGGCGAATGCTGTGGGCGATGGCGAGGCGTGCGAGACCCATGTGAAGGGCCTGAAAGAGATGGTACGGCTGCGAGGTGGTATGAAATCCATGGAGAACAACAGGGAGTTGCAGCTTAAGTTATGCCGGTAACGTACCCGCTCATTGCCTAGTCACGGGTACCTTACCTAGGCGATTCAGAACTAATCCCACCTCACTCCCTCAGCGTCGATCTCGCCTGGTCCATCAGAAGCGGCTGCAAACCCACCCTGTTCGACGGCGACGTGACATGGTCTCGCTTCTCCAACTCCACAAAGACCATCTACTCCCAACTCGGCTCCAACCCGCCGCCGCCGGATCCCCTCTTCGAGCACATCCAAACCCTCGACATCAAGCTCCAAAACGTCTACAACGACATGCGCGACCTCGCACACGCCGCCAACCACCTCATCGCCAGCGACGACAAACTACAACCCGACCTCTTCCAGGACATGATCATGTCCATCCAGTACCGCCTCCTCTTCCTCGAGTACCCGCTCGAGTCCCAGCCCATCCAAGAGGCCCTCCGCTGCGGCCTCCTCGCCTTCCAAGCCAGCGCGCTCCTGCTCGTCCCCGGGCTCAAACTCCGCTACGATTTCCTCCGGGACAGGCTGCGCCTGGCCTTGCGCCACCTGCTCGACGCGTCTGCGCCGGCGCTGCGCGATCTGAAGCTGTGGCTGATGCTGGTCGGCTGCGTTGCCATGGATGATGTCGTCGATGAGGAGGAGCCGGGGTCGGGAGGAGGCGGCGCCCTGGCGAAGCTGGTTGGGGGTGAGGAGGATTGGCCGCGGGTGCGGGGGCGGATGAAGGGGATTATGTGGATTGATGCGGTTCATGATGTTCCGGGGAAGCGAGTGTTTGACACAGCTCGGCTGGGACGGGGGGGAGGCGTCAGTTGATGTGGATGGATGGATGGAATTTATTTCGCCCGGAGGCACAGAGCCTAAAGGGCCTTGGCACGCTAAATACATACAATTCGTCCGTTTCTGCCGTGGTCTCGCACAAGCCCCTTGAGTTGTCCTTTGCGCAAAGCTTCCCAATACCTCTTGCCTCTTGCCTTGATTGTTAGCAGATGTAACGGTCCCAGGTGTATATTGCAACAAGCTGGTGACGACTTTACGAGTACACTAAGCTTGGGGAAGAAAAGGAAAGACAAGACGTTCTGGCAATTTGGAGGCTGCTTTATCGTTGAGTGAAGTGGCTCGAGCGCATTGCTAGAATGTTCGGTGTGCTGTGGGGCGTCTGGGAATAGCTTCATCCAGAGGTCAGGGTTGGCTGAGGGTTACCGAGGCCCACCTCGGATCAATCTCCCCGTCGCCATTGCGTACTTGATTATTTCCCGGACTGCTTTCATGTCTGGCGACCACTCCTTTGGGTCGGATGGCGCTTTCCCAGGATAGTGCTGCTAATCAGTAAAAGGATCGAATTTGGGCTGAATAGGGGAAGAAAGAAGAGAAAATGGAAGGAGAAGGTACAAGGCAGGACAAAGGTGTTGAACTTTTGAAGAAGAGGAAGAGTAATAGGCAGAGGGAGGGAAGGGGGGAGAAGAAGATATCACCCAGGAGAGGATAATAATAGTGAGAGAAGCTACGAGCTAAAGGTGGTATTCTTGAAAAATCTAGGAGACTCAGACAACATCACGATTTAGGGCCTGTCTAACAGAGCAGTGTGAATGTCTCGACGGGCCGCAAAAAGAGTGGGGCTACGGAAAAGATTTTCCCC